AAATTATTTATTTGATAAATGGTACATGTTGCTTGTGTGCACATGCAGTCTAATGCTCGCTGAGGATACTGACATCGTCCTGACTCATAGTGAACATGCTGTCCAAACAATAGTTCCTGCAAGGTGAAAGCTGACCTGTCTGTGGGACAATGCACTGATCCTCTGCCAGAGAAACTGATTCTCTCTCAGTCCCCTACCTCTCTCTTAAAAGCTATGTATACACTCAGTAAATTCTGCAACAATTGGTACTACTGCAGACAGCTTAAGTAGTGATCCCCATAATGCACCTGCAGGGGCTAAATCCTCTCTTCATCTCACCAGCGGCTCTCCCCTGTTACTATGGAGATTTCCCGCTGTAGGACTTTGGCTGGTGGTGAGCTGTGATGACATCATGTGTATCATCAGATGCAACAGAACACCTTTGTTTAATATGTTTAGTTGCAAACCCATGAATATTCAAACACAAAAAGATGTGAAGGAAAAATCGAGGCACCGCTTTTTCAATTTGCCTTACATAAAGGTGGTTCAACTATCTGGACCACACACTAGTCACCACAGAAGATGACATTAATCTGTGAACGGCTAAGACCTGAAGCAATAAAACACACTTGCTCATACACAGCATGGCAGCATGTCTGTAAACCTTTCTTAGAATGTTAATATTTACCTCTTTGGCACAGAGATGATATTAAGTTTTCCACTGTGCTCCTGCTCAGTTCAGTTCTCTTTTCTGTCCAAACACACTACCCCAGCAGCAGGGAATCACTATCTCTTTTCCAAGCCAAGTATAACTACCTAACAGGCTGTTGCTGTTGTACGTCTCATGTCGACAGAACTTGAGTATCAGTGTCTTTGTTTTACGTTATTTGCTTTTTATTTAACTGATATTTGTAGATGCTGTGCTGTTTCAAAAAGAGCTAGTCTGGTCCACTTGTCTGGTCCAGGGACGTAGCCTTGTTCTGATATCTGCTGTGTTAATGTTTTTTTCAGGTATCTGGCTTTCAGGTTTTTACTCAGACTGACGGGGTTTGCCATCCAGCCTCTGTTATATTTGAACCGGAGAGTATATTTCAAATACTAGATGTAGGTATCACAAGCCTGAAACCGAGTTATTTTAATTGGATGACTCATTGCAGCTCTTCTCAATGAAAACAGTACACATACTCTCTTTATATGAGTCATGTTTAAGACAGTTCACAATAACACAAGACAAATACTGGGATACACAGTCTTTGTTTGACAAATTTCTGTCCCATTCCCAAAATGAAAGTGTGCACACTGGGACAGAGGACAGTCGTCACCAGGCATCTGCATACACGCGTGTGCACGCTGGTAGGTCTGTGTTTGTATGTGCATGACTTTGTGCTGTACTGTTTGTCATGTTTATGTCCAGAGACATATGTTTCACGTCACACGTTAGCAACACAGAGCACGAAGAGCTACCAAAGGCATATGGCTAACAGTCTTTGATTGGTATCACAGTTTAATTTAAGTAAATCACAGATGGCCTTTTTTTTCACCACTTGTTTACTTGTTGTCCAACTCTTTGTCAGGCACTCTCCATGATAGGTACCACGTCCTATTCCCATGACGGTTTATTTAAGAAATCCTTTTAAGTTCCTGTAATGTGAATCACACAGTTCCAGCAGATTAAAAACAATCTGAATTATGATTCATCCTCTGATAGATCATTCACAGAGAGTGGAGTCCATAACACAATGAGTTACGAAACTGCAGCTACAGGACTATCTATGGAATATTTGAACTGCTTGCTATGTAATGATTATATGGCATTTTGAACTGAATGGTGTTCAACTACTAGGCATCACTTGTTAGTCCATGTTATAGGGCAGCAGTCGAAGAAACAGGATGAGGGGAAGAAGAACCGATCCAGTGGGACTTCTGTCTCAGTTTCTTAATTTGGCTCATCTGGACATAAAGGAAGACCGATGTCACTGCATCCCTGAAGGGAAAAGAAGGTCAGTGCAGGTTAGTGGTTAATCTGCAGCATGCGGCCCTAAAAATTGACATTTTTTAAATTAGCTTTACAAGGTCATTTACATTCCCATTCAAACCAGTGTAATTACCGAAATGAGAAGCAGTCTAAATGGGGTCATCAGGGTTTCCAGGAGGTCTAAGAAGAAAAACCTTCTCCTGAGAGAGTCAATGGAGGTCGGAGAAAAGAAAAAGCAACATTGTTAGAAGAGAACAGCCACCTGACCATTAGTCCATTCACAAATTGAGGATACACGTCTTCTCTATACTGTCTCATCAAACAAAAACTTAAAAATCAATTCCATGATTTCAGAATAAAAATATGACGAGACAAGGACTAATGTTATGATGCTCTGTAAGAGCATCAAAGATAGAATCAAACACATGAAAAGATTTAGCAGGATTATGGAGATTGTGATGAAAAAGACAACATCCAAATTTGCAGATTTACAAAAAAGTGAAAACATAAACACCTGCTATTCTTAAACATGTTGATTTTGTTCTCAGAAAATCATATTCCTGTAATTATTATGATAATTAGTTATGATAAACATGGAAGCTAAATCCTAGGAAATATATACTGCTTTTTCACATACTTGGATTGTTTTTGAGATGGCAATGCCATTCCAGTTAAGAAACAAATGATATACAAGAAAGCAATTTCATATAACTTTTCAGTTTCTGCTACAAAATTAGATTGCCCTGGTAAATACATATTACACATATCATTGACAAAAATGTGGAAAAATCAGTACATCATTCAAGCTCATGCAATGCCCAATGTTGTGTATTTCCCCTTCGGCTCTCCTCTGCTTTAATGAAAGCAGCCCCTGCTGGGGAAGAGCATGAATATACAAACACATCTGCTAGCATAGCTGTCCAGCAGTCTCACGGACCGGACTGCAATCCAATAAATAAAAGCAAAAGATATAAATTAGAAATGACTCTATTACATTATTACCTTCCATTTTCTGATGCAGTCTGGGTCGAGGCAGGTCACCACAATCATCATCTAGCACAATCATCCAGACGTATGAGACAGTTCACACGCACACACACACCCACACACACACACACACTAGTCACACTCTAATTTGTTTAAGGATATATTCTATCGATAACCTTCAATAAAGGTATTCATTCAGACAGATGTGGCTTTTAGACAGAATTGGCTTTTTATAGTTCACATCTGCTATTTCCAGGTTATTGTACCTCTGTTCCAAACATGTGAATGTCAGAGGGGAACACTGCTCATGTGGCAGGTACGGGTCACCTGTTCTGTGAGCAGAGGGAAACGGCCACCAGGGGGCAGAGCTCAGAGGTGCTCATTTAGCATGCTGTTGCTGATCTTACTCATTCCATACACAAAGTCAGCTGAAGGTGAAACACAACCTGGGCACACAGCAGGAACATCACATACGCCACACGAAGCACACAACCAAACACACACATAGTGTGTTCCGAAGATACACATGTGGTTGGTTCAATCAACTAACTAAAGGATGTCAAATCTAAACCCCTCTTTACCTTATCTGAGGCGGGCTCTGAAATGCTTGTTAGAATTGTAAGGAGCTTTTATGACTTGGACCTGTGGGGTATTTCACGTAACAGTAACAGACTGACCAATGGAACAGTGGGTTTCTGTATGTTAGAGGGACTTCACTGATGACAAAAAATCAAAAGCGCTTGTTTCTTTTGTAAAGTCTACAAAGTGTACAAATGCTGTTTTCTGGACAAAGGCAGTGGAAGATAAGATGCTGAGAACTTACCCTTTGTTCCTGTGGGAGAACAGCAGCCTCTGCTGAGCGCCGGCGGTATGTGCACTCAGGCCAGCTTTAGGAAGGGCTCCCCGTCCATTCATAAATCCTCACACTCTGCCTCCTTCCGCCTCTCCCAGCACAGTGCCTCTCCGAGCTGTGCCCGAGTTGTGCGTGGCAGACCTCCTCACTGGATTTGTTTTTTTTCTGTTAAGGTTAGGACCTTGCCGATTAGCTGTAGAAGCGCTGGACGAGTTTGGGCGTCTAGTTTTACACAAAGCGTGATGACAAAAACAGTCTTATTAGAGACCGCTGACAGGTCACATTGATGAATCTTCAATATAGCTTCCAAGCCATCTGGGAGGTTACTGTGGAAACAAGGGTGCCATGGCAACGGTGACTGGGGTTACCGGGGAAACGACCGTCACCATGGAGACTGCATCACAGCGGGCTATATTTGAGGCATCCAAAGACAAATACGCTCCATCTTTGATCACTGTTTGAGCGGACTCTACGTTTGTCCACTCGCGTGTCTTGCACCGATAATGAAATACTGTCTGTCTGGTCCCTGGTGTTTATATGGCACCATCCACGCGTTAAACAGCTTGCCGTGACGGTCCGCTTTGACAAACTACAGGGAAATATTTTCCACGACATAGCATTTGGACTAGACTTTAACACACAATAAAGGTATAGCACAAAACAGTCTAATTGAGATAATATATGCTGACCTGTGTTTTTTAGACACTACATGTGTTTGAACACACTCATATTCAAATGACTGATTATTATACACAAGCAGTGACAGACGGATCACGACTCTTAACGCATGATAATACAGTGTGTCCTTCGACGAACATACATTTGTTCCGATCGTTCACAGTTATAAAGCTTCTATTTCTACCTGTTGTTGTAATAAACTGGCTTTCGCACATTGCACAACAGGTTTGATTGCCTCGGTTTGAGGGGAGCAGTTGAAAAAATTATTAGGAAGAGTTCTTTCTTTTTTTGCGAGCGCGGATGGAACCACAGGATTATGAAAATTCATGTAACTAAAGTGAAAAAATCCAGATTCTTTGAATGGAGCACGAAGCAGCATCTCTGAACAGACGGGACGATGTCTGTCTTTGTTCGTCTCTTTTTCTGATCTGATCTACGGCTGCTTCCACACGCTGGTGCGCGCCGGCGCATCCAGCTCTGTGTTGACATATTTCTCTCTGTATTGCGGGTCATAACTCTGAAGCCGGGCTACACGTCGGTGAAAATCTTTTTGTTTATGTTAACACAGTTCTGCGAGTTGTTCTGGGGGGTGGTGGGGAAGTTGGGCTGCTGTTTGAAGGCGCTGTTTATCCCGTGCTCCTCTATCACCATGTACTCGCTCTTGCTGAGCGAGGAAGACGAACGAGTCTTCCTCAGCTCCTCCGTGTCTGCCAGCGGTTGACAGCTGCCCACGTGCAGATACTGCGCCTGCTCCTCGCCCTCCGTCTCTCTGTGGTAGAAGTAGTTGAAATTTGAGACAATGACAGGAACGGGCAGGGCAATAGTCAGCACGCCGGCTATTGCGCACAAAGAGCCCACGATCTTCCCCCCGATGGTCACGGGGTGCATGTCCCCATATCCGACGGTGGTCATGGTGACAACAGCCCACCAGAAAGCGTCAGGTATGCTGCTGAAACCCGAATCCGGGTCGTCCGCCTCGGCAAAGTAGACGGCACTGGAGAAGAGGATGACACCAATGAACAGGAAGAAGATGAGCAACCCGAGTTCACGCATGCTGGCCTTCAGAGTCTGTCCTAAAATCTGCAGCCCCTTGGAGTGACGTGACAGCTTGAAGATACGGAACACCCGGACCAGCCTGATTACGCGCAGAATGGCTAACGACATGGCCTGCTGTCCGTTGCCCTGCCTCTCGGCCAGCTCCGTGCCAAGGGTGATGAAATAGGGAACGATGGCCACAATGTCGATGATGTTCATAATGTTTTTGGAAAACGTGGCTTTACTCGGGCATGCAAAAAAGCGCACCAGCAGCTCAAAAGAGAACCAGATGATGCACAAGGTCTCCACCACAAAGAAGGGGTCAGAGAAGGGGCTGATTAGATACGGGAGAGTGCCGTTTATCCCAGGCGCAATGGTGATTGGATCCCTGTTATCGTCCCTGAACTCCGGTAATGTCTCTAAGCAGAAGATGACAATGGAGATGAGAATGACCAAGACGGACACTATGGCTATCCCCCGGGCGGGACCCGAGCTTTCTGGGTACTCAAACAACAGCCACACCTGTCTCTGAAATTCATTCTCAGGCAGCGGGCGCTCCTCCTCCTTTATGAAGCCCTCATCCTCCCTAAACTTCTCCATAGCTTCCTCGCCCAGCTCATAGAAGCGGATCTCCTCCGAAAAAATATCAATGGGAACATTCACGGGTCTCCTGATGCGCCCGCCGGACTGGTAGTAATACAGAATGGCATCAAAGCTGGGTCGGTTGCGATCGAAAAAGTATTCGTTCCTAAGAGGGTCAAAGTACCTCATCCTCTTCTTGGGGTCCCCGAGCAGCGTCTCTGGAAACTGTGACAGAGTCTTGAGTTGCGTCTCAAAGCGCAACCCCGAGATGTTGATGACCACCCGCTCGCAGCACTCGTGGTCCGGCTCGTATCGGTCCAGAGAGTGGTGGCCCGGGAGCGCCGCCGACTCCTCCAGCATGTTGTCACACGCCACAACTGTCATCACGTCAGCGTCCGTCTCAGTGTAGCCGTGGTTCACCAAATTGTCGCCCCGGGTCTTGGTCGCGCTCGGCGGGGGTGATTGCAGGAGGCTGAGGTGGTCGTCCATGCGCGGTCGCAGACGCATTCAGGGGCGGCCGCCTCGCCCCCTCCGCAGACCCCGGTCAACCACGGCCGCCGCCAAAGCCTCGTCTGCTCCACGTCTCTCCCTCTCTCTCACTTTCACTCCCTACTGTTGCTGTTCCCGCCCACGGGGGGAGAGATCTGGGGTTTATAAACAGGCGTTCCACCCGCCCATGGCGCGCCACCGATGGCCACCTTGGACCGTTTTACGCCAATCGGAGGACGCACCGATGTTTCCAAAAGGCAAATGACGGGCGTCATTCAATGTTAGGGCGTGCCCGCCTCTCCTGCGAGGCTCTCCCCGCCTTGTGGAGACAGGCTGAGGAGAACTCTCACACGTACGCGCACGCATAGACAAGCACTCCTTTTAAAACAAGGTCATTCATCATAGATTGGACGTTTTCAATTAGGCTACTCATTATTATATATTAGAGTCTAATCTTTCCCCCTGAGAAGTTCCAAAGATACCTTTGGATACACCAATTTTCTTGACAAGAAAATAATACGAATCATTCATCATAAATGGGGCAAAGCACATGTAATTTAATCTACTGTTTCTGAGTTTGTTTTAAATCCAAAACAGCAACACAACAATGTGACTTTACTGTTTTGTTCAGGAGAACTGAGACTCATGGAAGAGGGCATAGAGTCTGAAGACTCTTCATCTGGCTTGTCAAATACTTTAAATTAAGTTTTTGGAGATGGAGGGTTAAAGTGGGGGGTTCACTGCCTACTTAAGAAAGCCCAAAGCCAAAAATAATGATACCAGAGAGGAGGAGAGCATGGTTGATTGCTTAAATTGTGAGTGATAAAGAAGAGATAAGTCATTGGCAAAGAGGAATGGTAAGTGGCGGTAAGAAAAAAGGTGATAGGTTAGAGAGAATTACTCAAACGATGGTGAATAAAAAAAAACAGGTGAAAGAAAGCATCGTGATGAATAATGTTTAAGAGCTGCTCTGGTTTTGAGCCGATCAGGTAACAGGTTAACTTAATTTCTTTGGGGCACTTGTATAGAAAAATGAATTGTCTACATTTAAAACTGTGGATAATTGTTGTTTTGTTTGTAGGTGCTTAACTGGTTTATCCATTAAATAATATTTAACAAGTTACTTGTATTTTACTACTCTGTAATCAATAAAATTCATTAAGTGCAATTCACCAGTCAGTGAACTCTTCTGCAGTCTGTTCTGCAGAAGTTCTGCTGTAATTTCTCAGAACTTGTGTCCTTTTCCAAGGTTGCTGTCCGAGGTGCTGAACGAAGTGACACTTTCAGACAGGAACAGAGCAAAATCGATCCAACGATGATGAAAATTCTAGGCCAAAAACACTAAGTTTAATCTGCAACTGAATAAAAGATAAAATGTAAGTTTTTATCAGCACTTTTGACATGAGTGTTTAGCATTTTTCAGTCAAACGATGTTCAGTGTGTGTGTGTGTGTGTGTGTGTGTGTGTGTGTGTGTATGTGTGTGTAGGTGGGTGGATACTGAGCTGAGAAAAAAAAGAGGAGACAGAATCAAAACATTATAGATGTAGCTGAATCTATCAAATCAAATTTTTAAAAATATCCAAAAACCGTCTCACTTTATTGTCTAATTATCTTAAATGGATTAATTTGAATGGGCAAAAGTTTACACCCCATAGCTTAATCTTCAGTGCGTTATGTTGGTGGGCAGGCACAGACTCCATCAACAAGTGGAAGGAACAAAACACAAAAGCAAGGAAAGGAAGAAGGGAAACTAATTGTGAGAGATTACCGTGCTGCTCACAATCATCTGCTTCCTCCTGATTAAATTAGCCAAGGCAACTTTATTTAGAAAGGAACCACTCATCAAAGCTCTGAGCATAGGAACAAAAATGTGTTTTAATGTGATAAAAAGATTTCAATGAAATCTTTAAACGTCAGGGAATTCATGGGAAAAATCAGACAAATAAAGACATGGGAAGAAATAATAAAGTCTTTATACACACTTTTTACACTGGGTTGAAATCCATGCAGAACAGTTAAATGAGAACTGGATAGTGAATTATGTCGGGAATGCTCCAATGTGCAACATGTGGCAATCCCCACATACTCAAACACACTCAGACTTTTATTGAACAGTACCAGCCTGTCAAATTAATAAACATGTTGTAGATGCTCAGACTCATTTAGGGTGGGAAAAGTCTGCTCATGGAAACAAGGACCTGAAAGTGCTAGAATGATGTTCTGCAAACAATCGAAATACCACAAAGACAAAAGAAACTGTACATAGACTTCACTAAAGGCTGCTTCCCATTGTAAATCATCACAAACTGTGAGGGAAGGGCTGATAACATTACATTTCCCGTGAGAAGTTCTTAGTTAAACATTTTCAGGGCTAAAATATTGCTATTTTGAATTAATCAGTCTTATTTCCTTTGTGCACCGGGCTTGATAAAATATATCAAACTTCTTACAGGGAAGTTAATTACAAACATTTAACGGGATTCAGATTCAAGCAGCCCTGGCTGCTAAAATAAGTTGCACTGTAACTTAAAGTACTCATGGTAATGGAAAAAAACAATAGTTCTCTGAAAGTCTTTCTCAGTCAGAATTTAATTCTAGCTTTTATTTTCCTTTATACTGATTAAGTCCTAAAAGGATATTTCTCTTTCTGGCTTGATTGAACTGAGCTTGACCTCCGCAGCTCCTTTTAACTTATATCTCTTAATTTCATTGCTAAATCAGAGACTGAGGTTTGACAAAACTGTTATCTCCAGACAGCTTTTCTCCTGGTTTGTAGCCTTTTCACTCCTTTTTCAGTGTGCAAGGCAACAGCAAAGAGGCAAAAGTGGTTGTTAATTGTTGGTACAAGGAATGGGTGTATTTATAGAAGGTTGGATTCAGAATCACTTAGTCTTTTCCAACAATAACAGTGCTAATTAATACCTGAGTCTTCATCGAAATAGACGGCCTTATACCTCAGGAAACGTTCCCACTTCCACATTCCAGGCCATGGCCAACGGTCCTCAAGACTCGCTTTTCAAAACACAGTTTTCCAAAAGCTTCTTGACTGATTTGCATGCTGCTGCCTATTTTCATCTTCTTTCAACAGTATTTCAGTCTACTCTGTTTGAATACTAACACATTTGAGTCTGTGGAAAGCCCTGTGTATAAAATGTGTTCTTTTCTGAAAACATTGCCAAGAATGTCTAATTTCAAACTCTGCCGTTCGTTTTGGTGACTTTACCTCTGGCTCGTCTGACTCGCAAAACTTCTGACCGTGGGTTTTTCAAACTTTTGCATGTCACTGCCCATGTGGTGATTCTAATGAGTGCGTTGTGACTATGATACAGTCAACGCAGACTTTTATTGAGGCCACATTGAAAATGTCTTGTATTAAAAGGGCCAGTCAGCCCATAGGGGGAAAGCTTTGGGACAGCCAAAGGGCTTTCTAATGTGGTTTCCACTCTCCGTGTTAAATTTAGACTCACCCTAACTCCCTTAATAACCTACGAAATTGGGCTACCTTGCACATTGCTCTTGAATTCTTCAAAGTATGAAGTGGATGACAGAGAACTGTTGAAGCGTACCAGAGGAACATGTGAGGGGGAAGTGGGTCACATGCAGGAGGAGCAGCTCTGCTGGCAGAGGTGGTGACAGCTGGTTACACTTATGCTGGTTTGGATCTGTTATATGGGACTGTGGCAAAAACTGTAGCATCCTTTCAAACATCCTTCCATTGAAAGGTGAAGTGAATGTGGTGGAGAGAAAACTACAGACCGGGTTTTGCAACTGGCAGCCTGCCCCAGCTTCTGGCAGTCGACAGTAATGGGAAATGTTAACCTTTGTCCAATTGTCACTGTTGCCACAGCTGCAGTGAGGTAACATTTATTTTGCAACCTATTTTTCTTCTTTTTTAAAGCTTTCTTTCTTGCTGGAAAGGCCATTCCTCTCATTTTAAAAAAAAGATTACATACGTGTGTCTTTCTAAATAGGCATATTATTATTGCTTCAGTTTATCATAATACTATTTCTAAAAGACAGGCCTAAAATGTTTTTGGATAAATGTTCTTCACAAAACAAGTCCAGAATGTCTGTGATGTGATATTGCAAATACATTCCAACATAACTGTCACATGATGACATCCACTCTGAACTGTGGAGAAGGTTAATATATTTTACTGGTTATTGCTTCCATGGGATCGAGGAGAGATCAACGGGCAAGGGAAAGATTTATGGATTTGTGTTAAGTACTTCCATTTGTAAAGTAGCCTATTTAGATTGCTATGCATCAAAGACAAAGAAAGACTGCTCGGAATTACTGTTATTTTTGACCAAGTTGATCAATGCAACAACATGTTAGTGTGTTTGGCAAGTCAGACCTTATTTATGAGTCCTTACTTACCCAAATAAATGCACCAGCAGTCCTGGTTAGAACAAAGCTCTACAGAATTTTCTAAGCAGCTCTCATACATGGTCCTGCATAAACATAAACCCTTAAAACACACAAGTAATGTTAGTTTGATATTTGGAAGTAGAGGGGGACCCATTTGGACTTAACACGTGTGCATGTGGAACAATTAATCTACAGTTCATTTTAGCATATCCGGGGGTATCGGGGCTGGAGTGCACCTGCACACGACAGAGGGAGAAATAACAGATGGAGGAGGAGAGGACACGGCCATCTCTAGAACAAAGGATGACTGGCCAAGAGCCGCGTCAGGTCCTGATGTAACCCCAGCAACAGTGCAGTAGATGAGGGAGAGATGGGGTAAGGATAGAGGGGGACCCAGCTGAAACAAGGCTGGATGTGGCACTTTGTTTTTTGAACCTGGTAATCTTCTCTGCATGCAGAGTGGAGACAAGGAACCAAACAAAAAGCAAACGTCCACATAAAGCATGCTTATGCACCATCATACATGGATTCACAAACCCACAGAAAAAACGATCAGACAGTTGCTGAAAATGTTAGTCTTCTCTCCACTGTGCTTTTTCATTGTCTGGAGCCTGGCTTTTTGCCTTGAGGGCATGTGCTTTTCAG